TAGCCAAGTTGGGTATAGTATTCTTCGCTGCATGTTTTTCTCATTTAGTTCTCTGAATATATCATGCCAGTCCTTTCTGGCCTGACAGGTCTCTGTGGATAAGTCTGTTGCCAATCTAATATTTTTACCATTGTATGTTACAGACTTCTTTTCCCGGGCTGCTTTCAGGATTTTCTCTTTGTCACTAAGACTTGTAAATTTTACTATTAGATGATGGGGTGCGGACCTATTTTTATTGATTTGGAGGGGTGTTCTCTGCGCCTCCTGGATTTTGATGCTTGTTCCCTGTGCCGTATTAGGGAAATTCTCTACAGTAATTTTCTCCAGTATACCTTCTGCTCCCCTCTCTCTTTCTTCTTCTTCTGGAATCCCAGTTATTCTAATGTTGTTTCATCTTATGGTGTCACTTATCTCTCGGATTCTTCCCTCATGGTCCAGTAGTTATTTGTCTCTCTTTTGCTCAGCTTCTTTATTCTCTGTCATTTGGTCTTCTGTATCGCTAATTCTCTCTTCTGCCTCATTTATCCTAGCAGTAAGAGCCTCCATTTTTTATTACACTTCCTTAATAGAGGTTTTTATTTTAACTTGGTTAGATTTTAGTTCTTTTATTTCCCCAGAAAGGGCTTATATTTCTCCAGACAGGGTTTCTCTAATATCTTCCATGCCTTTTTCGAGCCCAGCTAGCACTTTGAGAATCATCATTCTGAACTCTAGATCTGACTTATTACCAATGTCCATATTGTTTAGGTCCCTATACTTCAGTACTGCCTCTTGTTCTTTTTTTTGTGGTGAGTTTTTCTGCCTTGTCATTTTATCCAGATAAGAGTATATGAAGGAGAGAATAAAATATTAAAAGGGTGGTAAAGACCTCTGGAAAATGTGCTTTAACCAATTGGAAGAGATCCCAAATCATGGGGGGAAGAAAGGGGGTAAAAAGAAGTTCAGAAGAAAAAAAAAAATTTTTAAAAGGAAAAAATATAAAAAAGAAAATATATATATTAGACTGGTGAATAGAACAGAGTCACCCACTTAATTTTGGGAGTATTTTGGTATCTTAGAAGAAACTACCTCTCAAAGTTTTAAAGAATGAAAAACGTGTGTGTGTGTGTGTGTGTGTGTGTGTGTGTGTGTGTATACATATGTATATATATACATATATACCCTTATTTTGTGTGTATATACACAAAATAAAGGTAAACATGATGAAGGGATGGAATATGACTATAAAGATGAAAATTTTTTTTAAAAATCTCTAAAAAAAGGAGTTGATAAGTCGGTTGGGAGAATAAAGAAAAAGAAATTGGAGAGAATTTGTTCAAGCTGTAGACTAGAACGAAGCCCTGTGCTAGATTTAGAGTATATTTTGATCTCTTAGAAGAAGTTGTATCCCAAATTTTTTTAGAAGAAAAAACCCTATGTGTATACAAAATATAAAGTTAGATACAATGAAGGATAAAATATGACTAAATAATGAAGGTTCAAAAAAGATTTATGAAAGATATTAAGATAAATTAGTTTAAAAATGTTAAAAGAGGAAAGAGTAAAAGTTAAAAAAATTTTAGAATAAGAAAAAAATAAAATTAAAAAAATTAATTAACTTTGCAAGACTAAAGAATCATGGGGAGAAAGACATGAATTCCGTGCTTTGCTTTCTCCTCCTCTGGAATTCTGCTGTTCTCCTCGGTAAGTGAACTTGGTCTTGGCTGGATTTCTTCCACATCTTCTGGGGGAGGGGCCTGTTGTAGTGATTCTCAAGTGTCTTTGCCCAAGGTGGAATTGCACCACCCTTACCAGGGGCCGGGCTAAGTGATCCGTGTGGACTCGCTTTTGGGAGCTTTTGTTCCCTGAATACTTTCCATAGAGTTCTGGAGGACGAGAATGAAAATGGCGGCCTCCCAATCTCCGGCCCGGAAGAGCCAAGAGCTCAGGGCCCCAGTCCTCATTGCGCCCTCAGAGAAAAGTGCTCAATCATTCCTGTCTCTCTGGCCTCCAGTTGTGCTCCAAGCTCACCCAGCCTGTGACTAAGTGTCTCTGGCACACAGCCCCACCTGGAGTCTCCAAACCCAGCAGATCCCTGCCACTCTTCTGGTGGGGGGGGTTCTTCCCAGATTTTGTGGGGTCCCTGCTCACAGAGCACTGGTCTGACTGTGCCACGGATTACGGTTCAAGGTAACCCCAAGTTGAGAGTTCACTCCCCGGCTCCGTCTCTATAGCCAGCTTCCCCGCTCTAATACCTGTGAGCTCTAGGACACTCAGACACCCCCGAACCTTCTGTGACCCTGCGGGACCTGACACCACAGTGTCCCCACCTGGGCTTCACCCCAGCTTAGCCTCTGGAGCGATGTCCCTCAGTGAATCAGACTTCTAAAAGTTCTGATTTTGCGCTCTGTTGCTCGGATGCTTGCCGGGAGCCGGCCCCTCCCACTGCGGTCTATCTTCCCGTCACTTTGGATTCACTTCTCCACCAGTCCTACCTTTCAGAATGTGGTTGATTTTCTGTTTCTAGAAATGCCGCTCTCCTTCTCTTTGATCTCCTGTTGGATTTGTAGGTGTTTGGAATCCTTAATTTATTTTATAACCGAAAGTTTGTTGTTTTTTTTTTTTGTTTTGTTTTTTTAAAGATTTTATTATTTATTTGACAGACAGAGATCACAAGTAGGCAGAGAGGCAGGCAGAGAGAGAGGAGGAAGCAGGCTCCCCGCTGAGCAGAGAGCCCGATGCGGGGCTCGATCCCAGGACCCTGAGATCATGACCTGAGCCGAAGGCAGCGGCTTTAACCCACTGAGCCACCCAGGCGCCCCTATAACCGAAAGTTTGATCTTCTTCATCCCCTCTATCTGTTTGACTCGTCTCAATTTTTTAGTTTCATTTTGCTATTCTTTCTGGGCCAATTCCCTTGCTTTGTCTTCCAGCTTGCTGATGCATTCTTCTACTTCATCCAGTCTGCTTTTGAACCCTTCCAGTTTATTTTTCAAATTTCTGTTTGGTACTTTCGTAAATTTACTATATCTTTGTTTAAGTTCTCATTGTGTTCAACCAGTTTTCTACTGAGTTTACTGAGCATCTATATGATAATTTCTTTGAACTTTTTAAATCAGGCTGATTGCTTATCTGTGATTCATTTGGTTCTTTTTCTGAGAATTTTGTCATGTTCTTTTCTTTGGAACATATTACTCTGTCTCATCTTGCCTAACTCTTTGTGTTTGTTTCTCCGGATGAGGTAAGTCAGCTACCTCTCCCAGTCTTGAATGAGTGACCTTATGGTACTATTTGGCCCAGAAATATAGTCTCTCAGTCACCAAAACCAGGTGCTCAAGGGGTATCTCCTTCGTGGGCTGTGCGTGCCCTCCTGCTGTGCCAGGGCCTGGGGCTGTGGTTGGTGGGCTACTCTGACACTTGGTTGGGCTGCAGGTAGCTGCAGCTACTGCAGCGTGTCTGTGGGCTGGGTGCTCTGCAGGGTATTCCCACTGTTACTAGAATTTTAGAGGAATTCCAAAATGGTGCCCACCAGCACCCACATTAGTAAGGTAGACTTGAATTGCAAAAATTGCTCCCACTGGTGTCAGTTTCCAGAGAGAGTCCCTGCTGTTTCCTGCCCCTTCAGGCAGATGCTTTTAAGGTTAGCAAATGATTCTCCTTAATCTGTGCTCTATGTACGCTTCAAGTTGATGTTTTACACTGGTTTCTGGGATGAGTGAGTCTGTATATGGGCCCTTTAAGATCAGGTTTTCTGTTTCCTGCAGCTTTATAGACCTTGTAAAGGTGATTCCTATTGATTTTCAGAGCCTAGTGTTTTGGGGGCTCGTCTCTCCTGTGCAGGATCTAAGGATTTGGGTGCCAGACATAGAACTCAGGTACCTTTGATCCTCTGGGAGAAATCTATACTTTTGATGCCCCTCCCAATTGTGACCCACCATAGCTGGGTTTGTTTTATTCCCTAGCCAGTCTGTGTTTCTGCCCCTCTTTCCCATCCTGCTGCTATCTTTTTATTCTTTGTTGTGAAGGCTCCTGTTCATTGACCTTTCAGGTCCCTTTTAGGAAGGATTATTCTACAGTTAGCTGTAGATTTGTATCCACAGAGGAGGTGAGTGCAGGTCTTGCTACACCACCATCTCGAACCCAGCTCCTTAGATTACATCTTTACGGAAACCACCACCTGGGTTAAAGCAATGCCATATACAGGATGGATTAGAAGACAATTTACAATAACCTAATTGGCCACTTGGATGACCACTGAGAAGGAGAGGAGGTAGCAGTCTCATCCAAGGCACTGGAAATAAAAACAGGGAAGACTGATGCCAGAAGTATATGTAGAACTTAGAAACTAGTAGGACTTGTAGGTCAGGGAACAAGAGAACAGCTGAACTTGGGAGACTGGGAGGTTGATGATCAAAAAGCATAGCAGGTATGAGGGAAGGAAAGGGGAGTTTCTTGAAGAGGCATGCCATGTTTGAGGTGCTGCTAGTACACCTAGATGGAGATGTCCAAAGCCAGTTTGCAGTGTGGGCCTGGAGCATGAAGAGATCTAGGGTCACATATTGGACTGGGAAAATGCCTGTAATGAGGTCACCAAGTGAGACAAGATGGAGTCTCACTGTGAGCTTTGTAGGTTGAATGAATATCTGCATTGAAGGGCCTGCTGGGTAAGGAGCCAACAAAGGCTCTTCTGACTCTGTGTTTTGTAGTCTGTGACCGTTCTGTTCTGTAGAATATGGGCCGTGGAAGAGGGATACCTATTGCTCTTAGAAGTTTATGATTGTAAAAGAGATTCATGACGTCTGGTAGACTACTGGGTAAGATTTATTTCTTAGGAAATCTTCTACAGATTCACAAACTAAAAAGGAACAAACAAAAATAAATAAGAATGTACATTTTGTTAAATAACCAAGTTTAAAAATGAAATGTGTGTTTTTTAAGTCTAATACTGAAAAGTTTATAGGAACTGTATGTTGTTATTGATCTTTACTAACTCTTCCCCCCCCACCTTTTTTTCCCTCTAGATTTTACATTGTGCAGTAGGTAAGTATGGAATTTTCCCCCTATTATATACAGTAGGCTCTGCTTTTTTAAAAAGTCATAAATAATAGGTCAATTTGATTATGACTGAATATTGAAAAAACAAAACTACTTAATCATTGTATATAAAATTGTTTACATTGGCATGGCTTTTGGTTTCTTAAATGACAGGTACTACTAGGTGTTATCATTGAACAATTTATTAAATGTCACAAGTGTTTCATTCTGTCAATGTAAAGAGGCCCCTCTCACCTTGTTATAAGGATGACAGAAGCACTAGCATATTCATTAAAATGTGGCTTGGGGTCCTTGTTCTGGGCTATGTGGAAAGCCCTCTCTGTGATCACTTAAATATTATATGCTCTTTTCTTACGTTTAAAATGGAGTACTACATATATTGCCATCTCCCAAATGAATACTGAATGAAGGTAAGAGGGATTGGAAAAATCTAAGTATAAAGAGTTATATAAATGTTAGGAATTTCTACAAAAAGCAAATAAGTGTGTTTTCTTTGGGAGGGGAAGAGGTGAGTCATCAAATTCTGCTTCAGAACTGAGGTATAGCTTCCTTGTCTGGGGTGGGCTAAACCCTTCTAATCAAATAGAAATCAATTCCTGAAATTTGACAGATTTTGTAGAATGAGCCCATGGTGGTTTCTGTGAGTTTAGACTTGTCTCTGAAAGGGAGTATTTGCAGTTGACCTCAGGAAGCACCAAATGTCTGAAAACTCCAGAACCATGTTTGATTCTTTCAACTTAATTCACAAATTAAGTGGGTACTTACTATATTCAGGGCACAGCGCTTGGCACTGTGGAGTTTAGAGATGAGGAGGCTTGGTTCAGAAGGACACATAGGTGGACATGCAGCAAACTACCCCCTGTAGGTCTTGCAGGGTCACTCTGATACCTGGTTCCATTAATTTTAAGGAAGACAAAGCATCTTCATTGTAAACAGCTGCACCTCAGCTTATTTCCTGCTAGGAAGAAGGTCTACAGTCAGGGGTTTCTCATGATTTGTGGAATTTTGTGTGCTTGTATCTATATTTATTTGAGGGGTGGCTGGGTAGAATATGTAGCTTTCATTAGGTTCCCACAGGAGTATGTGATCCCCAAAAGGCTAAGAAGCAATGCTTTAGAACCTTTGAGCAAGAGATTTGAAAAGGGCTTGGGATCTCATCTGCCACACGGTCTGCTTTCTCAGAGGTTATGGAACCTGGGCTGTGTCACATAACCAGTAAAGTGGTTTTAGCTGATGTATCATTTCACACACGTTTCCTTTTTAATCCTTTATCTGCAATTTTGAGACGAACAGTTTTGTCCCTTCTTAGATGGTTAAATAAATTTTAAGCATAAGCTTGTAGATTAGGGGGTACATTTGGCCAGAGAGAGTCCTAGAACCATTTCAGGCCTTTTCCATGTGATTAAACCTTGTGCTCCATTCTCCCCATTCTCCTGACCTTCAGCTGTCTGTAGATGCATGTTTTCTGAGCATGTGTGCTACATTTTAATTCATGTCTTATTATATTTTAGTGCCCCCATTTCCTTTTTCTTAGAATGTATTTTCATATCTCTTTTGTAAAATTTCTGCCCCTAGAAATAAAGTTTCTGACCAGTCTATATATTCATTCATATCAGGAACATTACTGAATGCCTGGCAGGTTGGTGCCAGACACGGGGTTGGACAATGAGAGTAGAAAGGTGAGCAGGCACAAGCTTGGGTTTAATAAATCCCCAGTCAGATGGGCCCCCTTCTGAGCTCCTCTGGACAGATGCGCTCCAGACTGGTGTTCATGCCACACTCTGCTCTGACAGTTTGTGGACAAGTGTCCCCAGGACCTAGCGTGGTGCCTGGACACATAGTGGATACTTAAAAATTCCTTTTTAATTCCTCAAGGACCGTGCTCTGTCAGTGATTCTCTCTCCCGCATCATCACTCTCTGTCATCCACCTTTTCCTTCTCACAAAATGCTCAGGGTACGCCATCCTAAAAATAATTTGTAACCTAATCTTTGACCCTACATTCCTCCCTTATCACTACTTAATTCCTCTCTATCCCTTTTACCAGATTTGCAGTAGACGCTTTCCACTTCTTCACTCCCGTTAATACCTTAGACCAGCAGTTGTATCTCCTTGTCCTAGTAAAAGTGCCCTTTGGTCTAAAATCAGCAACAGTTTCTGCTAAATTCTGAGGATGTTTGGAACTTACTGAACTTCTCGACTACATGGGCACTACTGATGACTCCCTCCATTAGGTCCTGCTCCTTCAGTTTCCATTACACTGAGCTGTTCTGGCTCTTCTTGTACTTTGTGGTTCTCTTCTTTCTTTGGGGGCTTTTCTTTCTCTCCTTGACTCTTCACTGTGGGTTTTCCGAGAGCCTGACCTAACTCTTTGCTCTTCTGACCGAATATGCCCTCTGTGGGTGATCTCTTCTCTTCCCATGCTGTGAGATAACTTGCGACACCCCCTTCTTTTAGCTCCAAGCCTCCTCTGCACCCTAGACTCCGGATCATCCCTTTGCCTGCTGGCTATCTACTTCTAAACACACACTTCCTCGTCCATATGAGCCAGATTCTCAGGCTTGTTCTGCCTCCCTAACTCTCTTTGTCAGGGGCACCACCAGGCACCGGCCTTGAGTCACCTAACCTAGACCTAGAGCTCACTGACCGCTCTTCCTCCCCTCGTACCCTTACTCCCGTAGCCAGGTGGTCATCACATTTTATCATTTCTGTTTCCTGCATCTGTTTGAGATTGTCCAGTTTTTTTCATTGCTATTCGGGGCCTCAGTGTGCCTCATCTAGACTCCCTTATGGGTCTCTCTGAACTTCTAGTCTTTTAATATTATCAACGATAATAAGAGCTCCCCTTTATGGAGCATTTACTGTGTTCCAGTGCTTTATATTCATTACCTCATTTACCCCCACCCCCATTTTACAGGTGACAAGACTAAAGCTTAGAGGTTTAATTTTTTTTTTAAGATTTTATTTATTTGAGAGAGAGAACACAAGCACAAGCAGTGGGGAGAGGGAGAAGGAGAAGCAGACTCCCCAGTGAGCTCAATCCCAGGACCCTGAGATCACAACCTGAGCTGAAGGCAAACGCTTAACCAACTGAGCCACCGAGGCGCCCCCTTAGAAGGTTTTGTATCTTGCCAAAGTTCACAGTTAATAAGCTATAGAGCCAGGAGTTGAACCTTGGGCTGTGTGACTCTAAGCCCATACTTCACATAGCCCATGAGGGATTTAATTTAGTTAAAGGATAATTCTTTTTTTTTCTTTTAAAGATTTTACTTATTCATTTGACAGAGAGAGAGAGATGACAAGTAGGCAGGGAGGCAGGCAGAGAGAGAGGGGGAAGAAGGCTCCCTGCAGAGTAGAAAGCCTGATGTGGAGCTCGATCCCAGGACACTGAGATAATGTGAGCCGAAGGCAGAGGCTTAACCCACTGAGCCACCCAGGTGCCCCTAAAGGATAATTCTGAGCTTGTTTCCCTGCTTAAAACCCTTCACGCATTTCAACTTCTTCATGATTTGGACCCTGCCCGCCTCTCCAGCCTTACCTGTGCCTTGCCTCTCACTCCATGCTTTAACCACCCGGACCTTTTTGCAAGTCTCCCCTGTTACCATACTACTGCCCTACTTCCTGCCTCTAGTCCATGCCAGGCTTTGCTCTCTGTCTGGGATGAGCAGCCCACCCTCTTCGGCTGGCAACTCTTCACCATTCTTCCTCCAGTAAACTTCCTGCCACACACTGGCTAGATTAAGTACCATTCCTCAGCTTTCTGTAATATGCTGTATCTCCCTGTTGTTATACTTTCTGTCATGTATTATGGTCTATCACTGTACCTGTGTCCCCCACCAACATCACGGAATTTTTTGAGAAATGAGAACTATTTCTTATTGATTTCTGTATCCCAGAATCTAGCAATACAGGGTGCCTACTGGGAGCTCAGTGAACATTTGATCATAATCTTACCAAATCCTGGTGACATTTTCCAACACTTGTTTCAAAGTCCTTTCAGTTCTTTTAAAAAATAAGAATGGGGCACCTAGGTGGCTCAGTCGTTAAGCATCTGCCTTCGGCTCAGGTCATGATCCCAGGGTCCTAGGATCAAGCCCCGCATTGGGCTCCCTGCCCAGAGGGGAGCCTGTTTCTCCCTCTCCTCCCCCTGCTTGTGTTCCCTCTTCGGTGTCTCTGTCAAATAAATAAATAAAATCTTAAAACAAAACAAAAAACTTGTTTTGGAGCCCGATTTTACAGACTGTTTAGTTTATGTACTATAGGTGAAAAGTCTGGACCTTCATCAGACCTGGTTAATTATTAGCAGTGTGACTTCAGGAAGTGACTCAGTTGCTCTGCACCTTGTTTCTTCATCAACTAGAGGGGGATAGGGCCCACCTCATAGGGTCATTGTGCAAAGAAAGGGACATGCATGAGAAATACTTAGCATAGTGCCTAAAACATGGCAATGCTGAAAACTGCCCCCCCAAAATGGGATCTGTGATTATTAACTAAAGCAACATTGAGTTACTGTCCATAATGTGATATTTAATATTTATATAAGCATAACTTTTCCATATTCTTAGTTTTCTTAAATTAAAATTTCTATGTAAGTGAGTGCTTCAGGACCACTTATTACTAGTATAAGTTAGAGCTGCTTCTAGTTCATAGTTGTGACAATGCAACTGGGTAAACATAGCTTCCAGAAACAATAAATAAAAATTCTGTCTGAGGGGCTCATTTCTGTGAGAAGTCACGCCTTCTGTCCATGCAAAAGGTTTCCCATGCCCCAATTATTTCAGAGTTGGTGGTTTGTTCTCCACTGGTAATGTAGAGACAAGAGTTCTTTTTTGGGGTTGGGGGGTGGTTTTGAACATGTATTGGGGATGTATTCTTTTTTTAAGTACGATATAACTGATATCTAACACTGTATTTGTTTTAGATGTACAACATAATGATTTGATAAATGTATACATTGCCAAACGATGACCGCAATAATATACATTG